CTTGCTCCCATGGGATATCTGACTCTGGACATCACTCGGTAGCTATTGCAGCCCCTGTGTGGTGAGCACCTGGGCGGTTGATCATGAATTCGCTGAGCTCACCCTTGGAGAATGCGCTGTAAGCTGGGGTCAAGACAAGGGAATCAAACAGGAATTCCACTGATACCTGGGCTGCGGCTGCGTCTGTGCTGACTCTGTTTTCTAACTGAACAACACATGCCCATGCTGTCGCTCAGCTCAGCATACAGCTTCATCCTTTCCCACCCCCACCCCCACCCCCCACAATTAAGACTGGCTATCAAAAATGGCAGGCATGTGGCTGAAATGGTAGAGTGCTTGCTTAGCAAGGGTGAGGCCCTGGGTTTAAATATCAGCATTACCAAAAAATGACAACAAAAGGAAAACAAACCAAACACATGAATACCTCCTCCTGGGTCTTGAACCTACTGGCATTTGGGCTAGAACTCAATTGTAAATTCTTCTGGGTCTCCAACTCGTATAATCCCATGAGCTAATTCTTTATAATAAACCTCTCTCTGCCATGTGTGTCTATCTGCTCATTTTGGGGGCTCCATTCCTCGGTGGAAGCCTGCTACCTCCGTCAAGCTGATGGGTGCTTGCTCCCCGATGCCATCCCGGGGCACAGCTTCCTGTGGAGAAGCCAGCGGCTGGACAGGACTGGATTCAGGTGCCAGACAGCTCTGGAAGAAAGAACTCCAATCAGCTGCTCCCCTGTTGTCATCTCCCAGAAGTTTTTGGTTTTTTGCCAGTCCTGGAGCTTGAACTTGGGGCCTAGGCACTGTCCCTGAGCTTCTTTTTATTCAAGGCTAGCACTCTACCACTTGAGCCTCAGCACCACTTTCAGCTTTTTCTGTATATGGGATCCTAAGGAATCGATCCCGGGGCTTCGAGCATGCCAGGCAAGCACTCTACCACTGAGCCACCTTCCCAGCCTCCCAAAAGTTTTTGTCACGCTCCAAAGCTTAACGGACTGCTCAGTGCCCTTGGTAAATGTCCCCGATGCTGTCCCTGCCTCTTTGGAACATTCTCCAGAGAGCAAGGTGAGGGTATATGTGGAGGTAACACTTCTTAGCCATTGTGGGCTGAAGTACTTAGTGAGCCTCCCGGGAAGGGCCTGTCTGAGCGTTGTTCATCCTCATTCCTTCCTCCCTTTCTGTTGGGTCTCCACCACTCTTGTCCATGCCCTGTATATTAACAACTTCCTAATTATCTTCCTCGCCCACAACTACCTAGGCCATCTCTAGGATCTGTTTTCAGTTTGGCCAGATTGGGTGAGTTCCTGCTACGTGTTCAGCACAGCCTGTGCTAGATGCTAGAGATAAAGCCATGAACAAGACCCACAGGGTCATAGTCCTCACGGAGTTTTACAGCCAAGGCAAAAGCTGAGACACGAAGCAATTTCAGTCAAGGATAATGATTATTACGATAGGGGAAATGTCAAGGTAAAAGGGCAGGGGAATCAACAGAAGAGCTCCTATATATTAAGGCAGAGTTTATTATAAGGTAGGCAATGGAAGGGAGCCTAATGGTGCAGGGTCATGGAACCTGTGCTGGCTGTGGCAGCCACTAACCCCCTGTGGCTACCAGAGTTCTTGAAATGTTCCAAGCATATAGATTAGATTTCCAAGATTAAGCTGGGCGCCGGTAGCTCGTGCCTGTAATCCTAGCTACTCAGGAGGCTGAGATCTGAGGATCCAGGTTCAAAGCCAACCCGGGCAGGAAAGTCCATGAGACTCTTATCTCCAATAAACCACTCAAAAACCGGAAGTGGTGCTGTGGCTCAAGTGGTAGAGCACTAGCCTTGAGCTGAAGAGCACAGAGACAGCGCCCAAGCCCAGAGTTCAAGCCCCACAACTGACAAAAAAAAAAGATTTCCAAGATTAATACAAAAAAAAAATTGTAGGGGCTGGGAAGGTGGCTCAATGTTAGAGTACTTGCCTCGCATGCATGAGGCCCTGGGTTCGATTTCTCAGCACCACATAAGCAGAAAAAGCCGAAGTGGCACTGTGGCTCAAGTGGTAGAGCACTAGCTTGAGCTGAAGAGCTGAGGGACAGTGCCCAGGCCCTGAGTTCAAGCCCCACAACCGACCAAAACTAAAAAATTGTAAAATAGGAGGAAGGTGGCTCAGTGGTAGAGCGCTTGCCTTGCATGCCTGAGGCCCTGGGTTCGATTCCACAGCACCACATAAGCAAAAAGAAAAAAGTCGGAAGTGGCACTGTGGCTCAAGTGGTAGAGCGCTAGCCTTGAGCTGAGGAGCTGAGGGACAGCGCCCAGGCCCAGAGTTCAGGCCCCATAACCGGACCCAAAAAAAATTTTTTTTTGTAAAATAAACAGGGCCTGGTGACACACATCCGTAATCCTCGTACTCGGAAGGGCGAGGCGGGATCGTAACAGGCCAGGCCGGGCTCCATTGTAAGACCTTGTCCACCCCCAAACCACAAAAGTAAAATCACTAACACAAGACTATTCTCATTCTCACTCTAGTGAGAAAGGCTAGGTTGGAACCTATGTAATTCCCATCAACCAGATATGGTTAAATAGTCTAAGAGCTAACAAGGGCCAGAATTGGGACAATTGAGTGTGAACATACCTATGAATCTATGCTAATGTAAACTTTAAAAAAATAAATAAATGGAGGGCTGGGAAGGTGGCTCAGTGGTAGAGTGCTTGCCTTGCAAGCCAGAGGCCCTGGGTTCGATTCCTCAGCACTACATAAGCAAAAAGCAAAAAGCCGGAAGTGGCACTGTGGCTCAAGTGGTAGAGCGCTAGCCTTGAGCTGAAGAGCTGAGGGACAGCGCCCAGGCCCAGTTCAGGCCTCATGACCGGACCCAAAATAAATAAATAAATAAATGGAGAAGCAAGAACTTTTCTCGCAGGATTTATCTCAATGAATACATAATGAGAGAATTAGCAATAAGGCCAAGAACCACACAAGGATACTAAAGTGAGCAGGGGAAAGTCTAAGGAGAAACGGGTTATTTGCATAGTCTTGAAAGTGTCTACCTCTAAATGTTTAACAAGCAGTAAGCTTCGTGGGAAACTCCTGCAGGTTGGCATGACCGCAAGATCAGCACATCTTCCTGGCGTGCTAATGTGCTGCGGGCCTTACCCCTGTGAGGAGGCTTTCCCAACATGCACAGGCCCCATCTAATTATCAGAAAATATCAGCTAGAATGATCTTGACCAGCATCCAGCATTCTCCAAAATAACTGGCAAGTGCTGTCCACAAGACAAGACATGAACTACCAGAGATAGCCAGAGGGCTAGACACATATGTGAACTATATGCAACTCACAATAGGTCAGATCCTATACCAAGAAGACAGCACAAAATCTACAAGTATTGGACTATGGCTAGCTTGGAAGTACTCTACAGCTCTACAAGGACTACATAAGAAATTCATATAGGAGCTGGGTACTGGTGGCTCACCCCTGTAATCCTAGCTGCTCAGGATGCTGAGATCTAAGGCTTGTTTGTGATTTGAAGCCACGAGAGGCAGGAAAGTTTATTAGACTTTTATCTCCAATAAACTACTCAGAAAAAGCCAAAGTGTTGATATGGGTCAAGTGGTCTTCAGCAAAAGCTCAGGGGCAATACACCAGCCGATTTCAAGCCCCAAGATTGGCAAAAAACAAAAACAAAAAAAAACAAACATCCTATTAGTTCTATTTTTCCCACTTTCTGTAGGTCTAAAAATATCTAAAATAAATTAACAGTTAAGAGCTATCAGCAATTTCATCATCTCAGGGAACTATCAATTGAACTATTTAAGCTACACAAATAGCAGAATCTGCTACAAATGTATTTGTGGGCAACTTCTTATCAACATTACAGCATGTGCTGCCATTTAACTTGAAGTGGGTTTTTTTTTGCCAGTCGTGGGGCGTGAACTCTGGGCCTGGGCCCTGTCCCTGCGCTCTTCAGCTCAAAGCTAGCGCTCTACCACTTGAGCCACATTGCCACTTTCGGCTTTTTCTGCTTGTGTGGTGCTGAGGAATCGAACCCAGGGCCTCATGCATGCAAGGCAAGCATTCTACCACTGAGCCACCTTCCCAGCCCTTGAAGTGCTTTATTTGAATCCTTTCAAGGTTCCTAACGTTGCAGTTGCCTAAAATTGGGAAGAACAGTGACAATGGCAGTCTCATTGCTATGTCATTACTATTAGGCATGGGAATAGGCAGAATTCCTCCGTCTTCCTCCTGCACCATTTCTGGACACTTGCTACCTGTTACACCAGGGGTGTTTGTGAAGCCCGTATTACCCAACAGCAAAGCCTCCTAAGAGCAAAGATCTTCTTCAACATCTATGTTGAACATCAGTGGTATTAAATTGCCAAGAGAAAAAAAGCAACAACAGGTGAACAGATGACTAGACACCCATCCTACAACTGCCCCTCATCGGGATGCAACAGTAAGCCAGATTCTAGGTCACCCATGAATTTGGGCATGACCTTAGGGATTTTAGAGTACATCCTTACTGATGAGTGACTAGCAGTTTATTTCTCTTCAGATGGTACATGGTATGCAAACATGGACATGTTTGAATACTAATGCTTGTTGCAAGTAAGGCATCAATCACTTTCTAGTCAGAATTAATGCAACTTCTAGAATGGTCTTTCACTCTCTGGTCAGGCTTTTATTGCCACAGCAGTCTCATTGCTTGTGCTTATTTACTGTAGTGTTCATTTTATTTTATCTTAAAATGCTACTTAACAAGGTTTTGCTGAGGGCTGGAGCTCTTAATCTCAAATTACCGAAATGCACAAGAATGTTTAAAACTAAAATGTGTTGGTTTTCTAGAACTGGCTGGATCACACATTTCAACTAAGATAGAGCTAGCTGGCCTCATTTTTTAAACTCTTGATTCATAGGGAAGCACCCTCTATACTCAATTTGAATGAGACTCTAAGAGAAAATCAGACACTATGTAATCATTGTCAAGGTGAGGACTAAAAATGGTTAACAAATACAACAAGCTATTAAGTATACCAAAGAAAATTCTTTATTGTAAACAAGATATAAAGTACAACAAAAGAAACATTGTGCAAATTGTAACTCACAAGGATTTTTTTCTAATTAAGAAAAAAAAAACTTTTTTTTAAACCAAGATTCCAAGTTTTGATGCCAGAAAACCTTTAAATGGGAATATATGGTGGTATTTTCACTATGTATTTTAAACAATTTTACCACTGTGTAGATCATCTACTATACAACAGAACAGAACAGAAATGCTGTTAATTAATAAAAGCCCCTGTGCTAGGCCAAAGATGTAGCTCAGTGGCAGAGTACTTTCCTGGCCTGTGGAAGGACTCCATGGGAGTTTTCTGAGTACTTCCAAAACTGGGGTGGTAAGGAGAACATAACTATATTTTCAAGTTGAAAAACAAAGTAAATACTCTGGCAATAATAATTTCTCTACCTACCTACCTCTACATCCCCGAAAAACTCATATAAATAAATAGGACATTTATCTATCTGTAAATAATGGTCACTAATTTTGTAATTTAATAAAGCACACATTTTATCTTCATAATGTAAGGGTATTTTACGGATAACGTGAGCCGTCTTTTTCAAGGAGTTATCTAAAATTACTGATATACTTCTTTACAAAATGTATTTTCATTTTCAGAATCTTTTTCTTTAACAAAGTGCAGTGTATCTTAGAGTCTACAGAAAACATTGATATACAATTTTCGAATCTACACAAGAAACTGCAGGCAAACTAAAGTCCAAAGCATAATAAAATGCCTAAATACTCATTTGTTAAACCTTCAAAACAAAAATGCAAAATGAAAATTGTAGCTGTACTTCAAAGCAATTAAATGAGTAAGGATTCCAAACGCCTCGGGCCTCTCCTTTAGCAATGTACAGCCTTCATTCAATTCCAAATACCAATAGTGTGAAAATGATAGTTCAAGATATATTCAGTAACTACACCCATGAAGTTGACGGGAAAGACTAGAAATAGTGAACAAGATAACTCTAGGAAAAGATGACAATCTGTATAATAATACAAACTGATTTCTGATGTCCATATCTGTACCGTGATTTCTAGTCTCTCTGTTCTTGAAACCAGTGCTTGAGAAGAGTCACATTGAAAAACTGGTCTCAAGTGTAGCAAAACAAAAAAAAGTAACAGAGGTGCACACCTTCTAAACCTGTGCTACCTGTGACCTCACCTGAAACCTTCAAACCATACTCAAGGGAACACAAGCCCTCATCTCTCAGGTGGTAAATGAAACCTGCCCTGCAGTGATGGGCCTGTGGCCAAAGCACTGGTCATGTGACCCATACTGGGCTCCACCTCAGGTCATAGGCTACACTCAGCCCCATTCCAGGGCCACAGACTTTTGTAGCGGAAGTATTCTGACCCCACCACTGCTTCCCAGCTGGGACTAAAGTTAGTTCTCATTCTTCACCTCATCCATCACTGGTTGGGTGCAGGGACTGAAGGTAGAGCAATGTCATTTAACTTGCTCACTTCCATCTGCCAGTTTGGGAGTTTCTTGGCTGACAGGTGGCGCCGGGCGTGCTTGGTCAGATGGTCACTCCTCATGAACCGCCGGTCGCACATGGGACAGGCAAATTTCTTCTCACCTGTGTGGGTTCGCCGGTGTCTGGACAGTTCATCAGAACGGGCGAACCTCCTTTCACAACCTTTCCAGCTACAGCTAAAAGGCTTCTCTCCTAGAACAGAGAAATTCAGGTTATCGTTATTATACATTAAGAAATTACTGAGTTATCACAGGATGAGTACTGCTCTACTTGCTACTTTCACTTCATCATGGTTGCGATACTCTTCTCAGGAACTCTAAAGCCAAATGGCTATTGGGCCTCAACTAGTCTAACAGTTTTCAAGATCCTTTGACTAAACGACCCAGGCATCTAAAAAGCCATTGAGTTAAAAATGAAAGTCCACAGAAAGTCTTTTAGGGGAATGAATTCTGGTAAAGTATTACCCGTTGATAAAGCAAGTTCTTCCTTAACAAGCTTGCTTTGTATATGTGATCATAGCCAAACTCGCTCCATGTCCACATTCGTTCTAAAGACACAAAGAACAAGAGTTCCATCCATACCTGTATGTGTTCTCATGTGGGCCTTCAGGTGGGAACTTTTAAAGTAGGTCTTGCCGCACCCTGGGTGGCTACAGATGTGACTTCTTACTCTGGATGAGTCGATCTGAGGAGTGACTTTTGCTGCCGAAGGGGGAAACCCAGGTGCAGGAGCAATGGGAGAGAGTCTGGTGCCGTTGGGGCTCAACACTGGAGGCTTTGGGCTCGGCACTACGGTCTGAGGGACGACAAACATGACTGCGCCTTTGGGCACCTGAGTGCCCATGAACACCACAGGCGGGCAGACCGCCGGTGGCTGGCTGGGTGGAGTGCTGGGAACAACAGTGGTCACAACGGGGTTGTTTGCAGGAAGAGGAACCATCTGGCAGATGACAGGCAGAGGCGACATTCCCCCTGTGGGCACTGCGGGTGGAGACACCAACACAGACTTCTGCTGCGGGGATGCTGGGGCTGGCTGAGACCTACAAATGACAGTCTCTGAGGAAGGCACAGAAAAGTCATAGCGTGGCACACCTGCTTTCTCGTCGGCATCGGCCACTGCATTTCGCTCACATTTGGACCTGTTTGGTGACACAGCTGCACAGGGAATGTTTTTTCTTGCAGCTTCCACATTTAGGTGGGTTCTTCTTCTAAAAGAATTGTCCTGGTAGTTGAGGATGCCAGCTGCTTTCACTGGGCAAGATTGGTGGTTACATAACTGGGCATCAGCTGTATGTCGAATCACACTTGTTGCCTGAGCCTTGGGGAGTTTGGGGGTAGATACTGGGTTCTGTTCCTCTTTGAAAGGTACAGGGACGGTAGGCTTGGCAGGGTCTGAGAATGACTTGAAATGTCCAGTAGGTGGCGCTGGTGCCATCAGATTTGACACTTGAGAGGGCTCAAAGTCAGAGGGGCTGTAAGGCGGGGTCAAACACTGAAGAAGAGAAATGCATATGAGAAATTTAACATTTCATTATGTAAACGGTAATAAACTATATAATTTACACCCATTTAAGAAAACACTTACAAATGCTGGGATGGCATGGAAGTCAGGTGTGCCTGGAAGCAGACTCTCCTCCTCTGATGTATCAGAGGCTGGAGTAACAGGTCTGTTTTCCAGGTATTTCTTAAAGCCAGACTTCCAACTGCAGCTCATAGACATAAGGGCCTCGACAGCTTCAAAGTCACTTTTCTCTGTAGTCTTGTTCCAGGAATACATACTCTCTTTTGACCTTTCTGAAATCATTTCCATTCTCTCCTCCTATAAAAACAGAAGATGAAGCTATCAGCTTCTCATCACACAATGACACAAAGAAATATATTTTCTTTTAAAAAACAACAAACAAAACTTGCAACCTTTCCAAGCTAAAATTCATTTTTTCCACTGGTCAGATGACCCAGTCTTCATGGTAGTAATACCCCCAATCTAGTTTGCTTGAATATTGATTTCCTTGCAATACAAAGAGGAATAACTTATCAGCATTAAGGGGACGAAGAACAATGTTCTCAATGCATCTGTGCCTCGCATATAGTAATACTCGCTGAGAAGAAAAATGTGTTTGTCTTTCTAGAGTAGCCACCTGAGATTGAGGTCAGGCAAAATTAAGGGAGGATTCTGCAGAAAAGTTTTTTGTTTTTGTCAGTCAGGGGGCTTGAACTCTGAGTCTGTGAGCTCATCAGCTCAAGACTAGCCCCTACCATTTGAGCCACACAGCGCTACTTCCTGTTTTCTGAGTGGTTTATTGGAGATAAAGAGTCTCACACGGACTCTTCCTGACCAGGCTGGCTTTGAACCGTGATCCTCAGATCTCAGCCTCCTCAGTAGTTAGGTGTGAGCCACTGGCGCCAGGGAGAAAAATTCTCCAAATTACAGGTACAAAGTAAAGTTTTGTTTAGTTTTGCAGTACTAGTAATTTTGCGTGTGAGTGCCAATCTTGGGCCTTGAACTCAGGGCCTGGGTGCTACCTTTCTTTCCTTTTGCTCAAGGCTCATACTCCATAAGCACAGGTCCAACTTTTTTGGTGGTTAGCTGGGGTCAGTCTCAAGTACTTTTGTGCCATGCTGACTTAGAAACTTGATCCTCAGATTTCAGCCTCCTGAATAGGATTATAGGAATCTCTTATACAATACCAGGGTTCGATCTTTGAATGGTCTAACCCCTGTGAATAGTTTTGAAATAAAAAAAAAAATCGAACAATCCTCAGGGATTCCTATTTGAAAGCTAAAACTGACAACTTGATTACGTAGGTAGAGATGAAAAATGCAAAGCTTATTTGTCCAAGTTTCATCTAATGCCTATATACTCGTTTGCTGGGCCTTTAACACAATGTTTGCTACTCAATAATACTAGAGGCCGAAGCCAGAGAGTATAACTACGTGAGAAATCTGCAAGAATCAAAACAGAACGTCTATTAACTTCTTTAAAGGCCCAATGACAACTCCCTATTTTTCACGGAGCTTGTGTAAAAATACCAAGAGTCTTCATAAGTTACACTGTATTTATTCTTGAAGCTTGGATTAAAGATGATCCTTAAAAACAAGAGCCAGGGCTGTGGAAATGTCACTAACAATGCAATTGCATAATCGTGCGCGCCTTTTATGTAAGCCGCCACAGACACAGGGCAGGCATGTGTAAAAGCTTCCAGAGACACGCAAGCAAAGAAAGGAAAAAAGAAAGGTAGGTCGGGGAGAGAGAGCCAGAGCCGGGAAGGGCTAGGAAGGGAAACTGGGTGGGGAAGGAAGGGATCGGGGCGGCCGGCAGGAAAGGGAAGCGCGGGCAGGGAGGCAGGCGCAGGGGGTGGGGGCGGAGGCGGACGGCGGGGGAGATCCTCGCTGGCCGAGACCAACCGCTGGGGCCGCCCTAACCTCATTGAGGCTGGCGGGTGAGTCACTGGGAACATTCCTCTCCGCGAGCACGTCCCCGCGCCCCGGCCCGTGCCATTGGCCAGCCTGCCAGCGGCCCGCACTCTGATTGGCTGAGCGGCCCAGAGCGGAGGCGGGGGTGGGGGCGAGGCATGTGAACAAAGCGTGATCAGCGGCTGCCCGGGGCCGCGCAGGAAACGTGAACTGGGAATTGCCGCGCCGTCACCTTTCCCCTACTTCCTGAGCCCCGGGCCCCCCCCACCCCCGCCCCGGCGGGGAGGGGCCCACAGGGAGGGCGGGGCGGCGCCGGCGCTAGTGGAGCCCGCCCCTGCCAGCTCCCCCGAGCCGCCGTTCCCTTAGGAACCGACAGCGGGGCTGGGCCTCGCTCTCGCCCCTGGCGGAGGCCGGGGCTGGGTCACCCGGGGACGAGGAGCTCCCCGGGCGCACCCGCTCCGGGCCCAGCCCAGAACTCCGCCTTGGCGGCGGGAGGAGGAGCTGAGTTCCCGCGGAAGCCCGGCCGCCGCCCTCCTCCCGCCTGCAGACCCCGGGGACCCGGCCGAGG